AAATTGTTTAATGTTTAAATTTTTCTTATGGTTGTACTTTATGTTATTTAAGTTTTTTGGCAATGAATTTCTGATATTATTTTTTTTATGAAATCTAAATTTTAATTTATTTTATTATAATTTAGTTTATTTAATAAATTAAAACGAAAATAAATTCTTAAAATAACTACAACAATATTTTTTTTTATATTATTTAGTCTAATTTTAACTTATTTTTTGAGGTCTAGAACCAATCTATTATTTTTGTACTTGGCCAGTATCTTTTTTTACACGATTTTTTTTTACACGAATTTCTCGGGAACCATTCTATCGTGTAAAAACAGAATTAGGTGTATTTATGTACATCGATTACAGTGATTTGCAATAAAATAAAGACACAACCGATGACGACGTTACTTCGTTAAAATTTTTTTTTTTACCGAATATTCATACCCAATGTATGTCCTGCATGCAACGAGACCTCGCATGATACTGGCCACCTCTTTGCATGCCCTACAAACCCTACTCATCTAACTCCCTCTTCCCTTTGGGCTGACCCCGTGGAAACAGCACGTTTCCTGGGCTTCCCATTAGATGATCTCGACGACAACGCAAATGACCCTTACCACTCAAACGAGGATTAGATAACCGTTAAAACAACAGCAACATGACAACTACTGTGTTGACGTTGCGAGTTTTCGACAGGAAAGTTCTGCGAAAGATTTACGGTCCTTTGCCCATCGCATCGCATCGCATCTATGGAACAATAAGCTGTACGAGATCTACGACGACATTGACATGTCGTTCTGTCGTTACAACAACAACAACAACAACGACATTGACATAGTTGAACGAATTAAAAGACAGCGGCTACGCTGGCTAGGTCATGTTGTCCGGATGGACGAAAACCCTCCAACTCTGAAAGTATATTCGCAGGGGGAAGCAGAGGAAGACCTCCACTCCCTTGGAACGCCCAGGTGGAGAAGGAACTGGATATACAAAGTTATGTTTTTCAACAAAAACAAGAATTTTATTCATTTATTTTTTATCATCCACGAATTGTTCATTTTATGCAGTCTTTTTATGCACTTTTAAATTTTTAGTAATTCTCAGTAAAAGAAAAAAGTAAGCTATTTAAATAAAAGCCTCAATAATTCGGTTTTAAAATAATAGGACTGCATCACTAAATTCAATAAAACTAATAATAAATTAAGAAATTGGAAATCATTATTATATAAGTTAGTTTAGTTAATATTTAGTCGAGTAACCGCCATTTCTTATTACTGCAGCACATCTGCGGGACATGGGATCGATCAGATCACGATACCTTTTCAGCGGGGTTTGCTGCAATGCCTCGTGGACTGTGCTCCATAATTCGCTTGTATTTGATAGTCCACGGTCAGCAACGCCGGAGCCATTCCTTTGCAGATTTAGTTGTATGTTTCGGGTCGTTATAATGCTGAAACAACCACTTTAATGGCATATTCCATTCCGCGTATGGTAGCATTACTTTTTTCAATATATCCACATACACATACTGATCCATGGTTTCTCATGGATCATCAGATGGATTGGTGCCACGCCGTTGTACGAGAAATTTTCCCACCATGTACCATCATGTTTGACGGTTTTAAGAGTGTATTGCAGGTTATATTCCGTATTTTGTGGACGACGAATATACTGCCTGGACCCTGTGCCACCAAATAAAACTACCCTACATTCCTCTGTCCACAAAAAAATATTTCTCCGGTTGCCAGTTGCCATGTTCCTTCTCGAATTAGAGCCGTGCTTTAATTATGTTTCTTTGTCAACAATGGAACTTTTCGCGGACTCCGCACAAATAAATTATATTCCAATAAACGTGTACGAACTGTTACGTCACTAGATCTCAAGATCTCAAGATCTAGACGCTTTGGATCTCTTTTTAGACAACTGGAGTATGCATCGATGTTGTTGTTGTTGTTGTTGTAACGGCAGAATTCTGCCGAGTTGACAGTCCTTAGCCGGATAAAAATCCGGATCCGTTCCGGTTTTCGTAGACCCGACTGTCGTGGGAACGCACATATGCATCGATCGTTTGCTTTAGTAGTTTTGCGTTTTCTTTCATGTGTTACGGCTTCATTTTTGCAGAACAGGGAATTTGAATCGTTTGATCAGAGCACCCGAGTATTTCTTTAATTTCTTTATAAGTTTTCCCCTTTTTTCTAATATTTTTAATGATTTCACGATTTTTGCCGTTGCGATGTTTTCCTCTAACCATTAATTAAAATAAATGACTTATCGTTTAAAAAATCCCATCGTGTTTTTTTTTTTTGTACTTACTTTTTAGTTTTTTTTACAGATTTTGTTCAAATAAAAATGTATTATACCAGATTTGAATTCATAACATTGGAAATAATCTAAACACAGCTGAAGTTTGTGCTTTGTGGTTTACTCACGGAATACCTTTCTAAATATTTCTTGAAAAGTGGTTGTCATTCATGTTCTGACATGATAATTTTTTTTAGGTTAAATATTTTTCTTAGGGGCACTCCTATTACTTTGAACACATCTGTATATATGTATATTCTATATCTGTAGGGCCTCTATCCGTATTTATCCATTTTAACCACAAAATCGGGGAGGCTTTCTAAATGCCTCCCCAATTATTGCTATAATATAAACATCTACTTTAATTTAACCAGTTTATAAAAAATAATATATAAGAGGAATTAATTTTAATGACGGCTAATTATATGACTATCGACATTTAGCTTTTATTTTATTGTAATAAAACTTACCTGTGCAAGCGATCTGTCTGCTCAGACTCATTCTCCAACTCTATAATGTCAAATAATTCTTTTTCACCCGCTCGCCCAAAGATACCATTGGGTATTTTTCGTAGAAATTTCTTTAGCACACTTGCAATCGTATAAACTGAATAGTTGTCGACATTCACTAAACGACCAGCCTGCAGAAAATGTATTAACTTTTTCATAGCACCCTGGTGTCCAGGGGCACGAAAAACGTCTCTTCTATTTGGAGATTCTTTGTTTAATTTAAGTATAAGAACCAAGAGTGGTCCTGGAATGTTTTCATTGTTTTTACAAACTTCCTCAAGTGGTACACCAAACTTAACTTTCTCCAATCTATAAGTATAGTCTGGCGCAGAGGCGCCGGGATGCCCACAAGAAGTGACAACACTGCTAATATCTGCCGCTCGTCGCGCCCAACTGGACATTTTTATTATTTATACTAGTAAATAATTAGCTATGATTGTCGCAGAAGTTCTGCAATTCGACCAAAAATACTATTTTACTTAATTACACGAAAATGCGAGCAATAGTTTAACTGCAACTTTAATTTTCTTGGATTATACTATAGTTTGTGGCAGCTGTTACGCCGCCCTGCCCGCCACAATACACCTTCCACTTTTCTTCTTTTCCGTTCTTCCACTTCTAAGCAGCTGCACGTTCCACGTACCACACGTTTTTTTACAAGTTGTTGTTTTTTTTAATAATCGTAGATTTCCCTTTTTCATTCGCTTTCACTTTATGATAATGGTTTGTTGCCTTTTTCTTTTTACAACTTTTGAATTACAGGAAAGGCTTCACGCCTTTTTCACTACTCAATACTCGTATATTTTGATTATTGTATGACTAATCATAAGAATGCAACAGTAAGTAACAACTTTTCTGTGATATGATTTCAAAGACAAAAATCTATCGAATTTCTTCCGAAACTGGAAAAATTATAGCACTAAATTTAATTTTCGCTTCTCCAGCATTCCATGTTGCCACTCCTGTGTGAAATTTAATTTTTTTTGACTTCAGCCTTTTGGTTTGCACACCGTCTAACCACGAACACATGCCCCCGCAAAACCACTTTATCTACTGTGATCATTAAAACTATATGTGCATTTTCTCATTACTTTCATGTTATATACAATTCACACTTCATTTAAATTAATTAAATTTAATCCTCTAAATTTTTACGTTTTATGTTCCGTCCCGTCATTTAAAGCTATTGTTGTTGCATCGTCGTTGTGTACACGAGAAATGAAATGAAATGGAAATTTCAGAGTTGTATTTACGAATTTCTTATAGTGTTAACATTGGAAGTAATTGGAGCAGAGTTGCCTCTACTGTTTCCCATAGGTTTCCTGATAATAATTATCTAAAATATTTGTAAATACTTTGTCTAGATGTGAAAGTTATTGCTTATGTGTCGAAAGAAAACCATGGAAATGATCATATTTAAACACTCATACATACATATCATGAAATGTATATTTTTTCATTTGATAAAAAACTCAAAATATTGGGTGTGTTCAGTCAGAGTATTCGAGCACTTAAACGCATAAGTAAACATTTAGTTCTCCAAAAAATAGTCTGGACTTTTGATTTATTATAAACTTAAATATATAGATAACCTTGTTTATACCATCCACATATTTGATCTCATGTGCAGAACGCAAACTACCCGGAAAAAACCTCTAAATCACTTTAGACTTATTTATATTAAGATAATGAATAAAATTTGTATGTTAAGGGGCTATACCAGGATGACACTTTCAAATATCAAAGTTTTTGTATTTGTTTTTTCAATAGTTTATATTTACAAAAATATCTTGTGAAATCAGCAAGGTCGTATTTAGTTGGTAGTTTTTGGATGCGGCCGCTCGCAACGCAACTAGAAATTAAAAGAATAATTTCAAATTAAATCTGAATATTGTTGAATACATTTACTATACAATGACCTACGACATTTTTGATTGGTTGAAAATTGCCAATTTGGCATAAAATAAACCGAAACCGAAATACCTTATTACGTTTAAAGAAGTTCCAATCACGTACTTTCTCTTAAAAAAATTCTCGAAAATCATTATTTTCCAAACGTCGGATACACGGAAGTACACTCTAATGATGGGTTGTTATACCCTGAATAGAGTGTATTAAGTTTGCGCGCAGTTCTTCAAAATATCTTTAATTTGCGCCATCGCTCCGATGGAGGAGAAGGAAAATATGATCAAAGATGTCCTCTATGAGGGTATGAAGCTATGAGAGCTGTCCCCGCCACGATGTCAAAATCGTGCTTGGCGACTTTGGAAATGAAAGTATCTGTGGTACAACGGTTGGTAAATTCAGAGTCCTAGATTAAATATCCCCAAATGGGCTGTAGTACTGGATTCCAGCATAGGAAGATTCATGAAGCCCTAGCTGTCTGCAGATCGAAAAGCCATTAATCAGATCGATCCTGTTGTGATAGAAGGAAGACACGTCTCCAGTGTTTTAGATGTGCAATTGCAGCGAAGATACATGTTCGCCTTTGTGCAGCAAAAATTTTCTACTCGACACTAATGCTCTCTGGGCGCACTCTTCAACAACTCTCTATAAGGGAAAGGTGGGACAGCAATTGAAACTCTGCAAACGAAACAATCGGATTTCGGAAAAGGCAAATAATCAGTAGAGAGAAAACAGACTCTTACCTTCCAACGTTACAATTGATCACAACCCGTGCGGGATGGGATAGATACCGATAGTTGAAGAGAAAAACGTGAGTACGAAGAGTTGACAGACAGGGAAAATGTTCGAAAATTTTACGAAAAGATGCGGCCACTAACAGATTAGTGACAAATGCCTAGAACATACTGTCATTAAGTAGGGAATACTTCTCCAGCGTACTGAATGGCGGTGAAAGCATAACACCAGGAGATGGCAAACATGATTCCCCATTCGGGACCAAGGGTGCAGACGTTCCATTGCCTGACCATGAAGAAATTCGAATAGCAATTACCCGTCTGGAGAACGAATATTGATTGCCAGCCTAATCCTACTCAATAAGGCGGCGAAGAACTGATAAGGAGCACACATCAGCTTATTTACAGAAAATAGTCAAACAAAAGCATACCATATGATTGGAATTTAAATGGGGTGTGGCCAATTAACACTAACTACCATGGGATAAGCCTCTTCAACATTGCATATAAGGTTCTATCGAGCGCACTGTGTAAAATATTAAAGCCCACCATCTGACCAGATATTCACCATGCACCAAATTTCGTAAAAGACCCGTGAAAAGAGGATCGACACACACCACGCTCGTTGGTTTTAAAGCTGCTTTTGGCAGCACGAAAAGAGCTGTCTTTATGTCGCTATGTTTGAATTTTGTATCCTCGTTAAACTAATACGTATGTCTTAACTAACGGTGAGAAATACCAAAAATTCCGTTATCAAAACATTTGCAACCATATTGACTATTTTATTTAAAACCATTTCTTTAACTTTTGATAAAGTATTCATTTATGTACATATATTTTTTTCTTTTATTAGAGGTGTTGTTTATACAAAAAATCATAAAAACTGGAACATTAATTCATTTGCTTATAGTGGTAAAAAAGGCATTAAATAAACAAAAATCAAAATTGAAATAAGGTTGAATTTCGACTCATCTGACCATAAAATTGAGTTCCAATTCTACTTAGTCCAATTTACCATGTAAAAGTAATCGAGCAACCAACCTCGCTTTTAAATTTTTGCAGACACAAACGGTTTTTTTGTACATCTGTAACCACGCAGACCAAACTTTGATCCAGTGCTCTTGCTACGCTTCCGTGAGACTTGTAGTCCTAACTAGCATCAAGATATTTGTCCTCATGAGTAAGCATGAGTAATCTGTAACTCTCAGCTTCAAAGGGATAAGTATATAGGGCATGAACCTTAAACGGGGAGGGGCCCGTTTTCAAAGGGTTGTTGTTCCAGGACTAATCCCATCCCAATCATGATATCACAGAGAGTGACAACGGACCCCGTTGTTGATTATCAGTTCAGTGAATCCCGAATGTAATAAAGCTCAATTGGACTAAAGAAGTATTACAAACCAACAATCAAACAACAACGAGTTGTGCTAATTGAAAAGTACTCTTTACTTATTGTTGACAGATTTAGGTGATACATTTACTTATTAACATACTTTTATTAGATTTTGAAGCAAGAGAAAGGAACACAAAAAAAAGGAAACCAAACAGACTCTTCTGCAAATAACGGCAGAGGGGTGGGGAAAAGGAAAATAGTGTCATCCCGGAGGATGGAGAAGATAAGTGGCAAGCTACCACTGGTCCTCC